GAAACCACGTTTCCATTGATGTATCAGTGACGTCAAATATCTATCTAATATTGCGTCACAATAGTTGCAAATATTCCGCGGAAGTTGGTAAATTTATGTAAACGTGCAAAGAAAAAGATTTTTAAAAAAGTTACGTTAAATAATTTCTCTTTTCTGTCCAATTACTTTTCCGAGTGCATTAAATAATATTGTGATCCAGAATGTATTTTATTCACGGGCGGTGCCTCAGCTATAGATGTTTTAAAACAAGTCAGTATTGATAAGTAGTTTTATACATGTACAAAACGTCTTTACAGTAATCATAATAGGATTAAATTGATAAAATTTGGATGTGAAAAGATTAAGGATTATGTCTTATTATTCAGTAATAATGAATATTCCAAATTTATACGCAACATTAAATTCAGCAAAGTCGAGATGTGCACTTCATGAAGTGCATGTTGTTAATATTTGAATATGTTAACTTATATGCAGTAATATCAAATATCAGCATTATACGACTGTCGGACCGAATAAGTTTTAACAGTTGTAAGAACGGAAGTACTCGTCACATCCCACTTCTCTAATATATTAGCAATGGTTGTTTACTATTAGTGTTGGTGGTTCAGATTCTGTTTAGACTTTATTTTTTTTAAAATGTAAAGTAAAATCTGAAATAGAAAAAAAGTTATAGAAATCTATAAATTTACTAATTAATGAGGAAAATGTTGGCAATTCTACTGCTGGACGCCCCACTTCAAGCTGACACTAAAACGGAAGATGAGTCAATGGAACATTTTTTTTATTTTCGTTTTTAAAATTTGACAGTTGTTCCACATATCCTAATACTTTATATTGAGTTAAAATAAGTCAGTAGGTTGGTAAATTTCCAAAATATCTCATTATTATCAAACCAGTTACAAACGGATGCTGCCCAGACGAAACCCCCCTCCCCCCGCTTTTTTTTTTTCGTGCGATCATTTCTGGGCTCTATTATCATGATTAGATGTATGTAAGTGTACAGGTTTTTTTCTTATTTATTTCAAATTAAATTTCTTAGAGCATGAAAATATTCCTTAATATGATGAATGGATGAAAAAAATTGGATTAAAGCCGAGGCTGTACACATAAAAAATACTTGCTGGATTAAAGTACGTGCATGTATAATTTCGCCTCTGCAGGACTATTTTTTTTTTTTTAGATTTTCTTTTTAGTCCAGATAATTTAGAAAAATATTTTCCTTGGAAATGAGATATTTTATTAAGCTTAAAATTTGCTATTAATTGTTACATGAAATAAATATCTTTTTAAATAGGTGTGTATCATGAAATCAAACAGATGTTTTACAAGTAATTTTAAAAAAAAATCTTCATGAACCTGAAAAACATTTAGTAATTAAGATATATGTAATCTATGGATAAAATCATCTAAAAACATGTAACTCACAGAAAAGAAATAAAATACAGACATATTCCTACGATAAAATACACAACGAAGAGCCGATGTAAGGAAATATTTTTAATTTTTAATATAGAAACCAATCCCGATTGAAATAAAACCGATCCCGATCGAAATTACTGCAAAATTATTAAGTAATCAAATTAATGGTAATTGCCACCGAGAAAACATGTTTAAAAATAAAGCAAGTAATTTGTAAACCATATTAAAACAAAACAACCAAGTTTCATGATGAAATCATTGTAGCTTTCTTCTTTATATAATTCCGGTCGGGATCGGTTTAATTTGGATAAATTTATAAAAAGTAGATAATTTGACGCCTCTTATTTCTCTCAATATACCTGTTCCCACCAATTTTTTAAATTGATTCAACAATTTTGATGTTGCCATGTGTAAACATTTGCTTTAATAAGTCTACATGCAAAAAATAATTAAAATCCATGACATGCGATGTGCCACCCATTGCCTGGTTTTTTGGTGGACTGCCTCTTAATTTCATTTACAACTTCAATCAGCTGTTCGCCGTATTTAAACTCAGGCTTTTCTTTTTTCTTTCCTTTACTTATTATCAAAACTTTTGTTTTGTTAATATTAATCTTCAAATTCCATTTTCTGCAATATTTTTCAAAACAATTAATTTTTGCTTGTAAGTGCTCGGCAAGAAAAGTCGTGAAATGCCAAATGAAAACAAACTGTTAAAACTACACGTATGCATTAATATGTCAAATAAGTTAATCTCTTTTATGGTAACACCTTTTTCTTTCCATTTGAAAGAAAAGGGTTTTTTTTTAATTAAACAAGACAAGAACGTCATTAATGTTAAATCCAGCACTATCCCATAGTGTCATTGAAAAAAATGAGTTGGGTTACTTACAAACATGTAGAGCAGTGAGCACAAATCTGTCAATGGAATTGCACTATTACGTGCAGGTCTTCATTACCTTTGAAGCAAACAGAAAAATAGATAACTTTCAATTAAATCCTAAATTTTGATTGGCTAATGAGTCAAATACGTGTCACAAGTTACTGATTCCTATATTAACTAATAACTCATACGCATATGCCATGGTCATTTGTGTACAATGCAATAAAACCCCCAAATTCTAAACATAGGTAATCAATGATTACTTATTACATAGCTCACCTGGACGATTGTTTTCTATAAGTAAAGCACAGCTGTCTCATGTCAAATGAATGTTCTGGTTGTGTGCATCCCTAGTTAAAACATTTATTTAAGCAACATCTTGTTTGTCATACAATTTTGTTGTTAGTTGGTCATTATTGTCTTTAGTCGGTAAATCATCTAAATATGAAACAAATGTGGCAGACTATGTGGTGTCCTTTATTTCAAGTTCACTTGGATATATCGAGTTGATGTATGAATGGAAGTAATTATTGTTAATTGATAATATGCCGTCGATATATCTGAATGTCGAGTTGAAGGCCACAGCAAGTGTTTTCGTCTTCTCATATAAAAGATTTTGAATAAATTCTGATTCATAGGAAAATAAAAACAGCTCGGTTAAAAAAAGAGTACAATTTGTGCCCATGGGAATTCCAACAGTTTCTTGGAAGACCTGGTCTCCAAAGACTATAAATGTTGTGAGTGAGAAACTCCAGCATTTTTTAAATATCAACCTCAGACTACTTGTGTTAGAATCAGAGTGACCTTTAACTAATTTTGTTGATGACCATTCACAAGATATCCGATTTCCGTTTTTATTGAAGAAACAATTGTCTATGATATCAAAAAGCCTAGTTTTTAATTTATCATGAGGAATGGTTGTATAATGTGTAGGAAAGTACATTTTGATGTTACTGACTTTTGAAAAAAAATGGCGATTTTAAATTTTCTAAAAGTTCTTTGGAATTGTTGAGAATTCACATCTGATATACACCACTTCTAGAATGTGCTGTTACACAATACGTCTGAAGTTTCGCTTTTAAGCAGTTAATATTTTTGTGAGATGTAAAGATAGGGGCTTAGTAGAGCTTTTTCTGGACCAGGCAAGGTATCTTTGTTGGGATTTTTATGAGGTTTAGGAATCCAGTATAGGTAGGGTAGATCGATCTAACCTTGGTTGACTGGAATGATAAAAAGTATAAAACACTGAAATGTTATTTTGAAGAATTTTATCCCTATAAAGTCATCCGTGAGTATAAGTTGGATTACCAGAATTAAAAGAATTAAGTTGGATTACCAGAATTACTAGAATTAAAACCAAGTTCTTCTAAAATACAGTTATAATAATGAGCCTTACAAAGGCGATATTGTTACAAGCCTTGTCTGCTGGAACCATAACATATTGTTCATGTACTCTCTCTCCAACTCTTTTATCACTTCCGATTTAGTAAGAAAGAAGATGGTGCGCATATTGCCTTTTAACTTTTCAACACGATCCTTTAATGTATTTTTAAAACACCTAATTTATTCTGACAAAGCGTTCAGGTCTTTCCCTTCATATTTATCCCAATGTCTGGCATAATCTTCGACAGAATTCATAATAGAAATGAAGTTCTGTCGCCAATTGAAAGATGGAGACTCCCTGTATTTAGTACCTTTGAAGATTATTGCTTATACATGTAGGTCTTCTTTTCCAACTATATTAACATCTGTTTTATTGTATCGTTGGACACTTAACGTTATATCCCTTCTCTCTGCAAATAAAATTAGGGTCCAGATGTGGATCCCCAAATCTTTCCCTCGATTAAAACTTCCATTCCATGAAAAAAAGGAGAGAAACATTAGTTATTTTATTTACAACAAATGCTGCAATTAAGATACAGCAATGAGTCAATGTGAATTAAGAATGCTGGTGGCCTATTTTGAATATAAACTTACCTATATGACTTACAAATCAAATTTCCCTTACTTTAAATATGCTTTCTTTTGGTCATGGTTTTGAATTTTTACAAACTGAAGGCCTCTCAATGAGGATTAATTATATTAAGTTTCTATATAATTAAAAAGATAGTTTTTCAAAAGTAAACAGACATGCAGCACAATGGCTTCAACCCTCCCCCCCCCCCCCAAAAAAAAAGATACACTTTCGAAAAATGTTTCAAAATAGATCCTAGTCAAAACAACATACAATAATCGATTTTGTGGACGTGTCAGAAATAACAAACTATTATACTAATGTAAAATATGAATCGTGAAATTTTTATGTCTACAACAAATGTTGATCTACTAAAAAAAACCGTCTATATTTGTTAAAAAATAAAGGCCTGTTTTACCTAATTTCCTGCCATACTACTCTTCTTTACCTGTTCTCTTTTTATTTACATGTAAGTAAGTTTATCTACTTCATATAATTATCATTGTATGATTAGAGAGAATAATCAAACAAACAAAATTGAATTGTAAAAAAAAAAAAAGCTTATAAATTATTATACATATAAATTCAATAGAGATCAGTATGTTTTAAATTTCATCACGTTGTTTTAATCGTGTATTTTTTTTTTCTCCTTAGGTAAATATACATCTTACGGAAATCGTACACTCCTCTACCTGTGATGGATAAATTAAACTGCTTTTTTTAAACGGATGAAATCAGAGTATTCAAACGGTTTTAGGTGTCAAGGTGTATTTCTAGCCGAGAACAGATCGGGTGCCTTATGAGAAAATACGCCGAAGAGTGATCGTTGATTCGTCATGGAAGACAATAATTTGATACGTGTCAAACTAATTAAGCGGAGACAAGATGGATTGGGGTTTCTCATACGTCCCCGGAAAACATCACCATTTGTTAGCATCTCAGCTTTGGTGGCCGGGGGGATGGCAGAGCAGAGTGGGTTGGTCCAAGTCGGTGATGTCATAACCCGCGTTAACGAGATTGACGTATCAGAAACTAGCTATGAACATGCAGTAGAATTGTTAAAGGCTTTGCCAATTGACGCCCCCGTTGCCCTTCTATTACGAGGACCTGATGGACACACCACGCACCTGGAAACTACCTTTCTGGAAAGCGGTGTCCCTAAGACTATAAGAGTTACTAAAGTGCTACCTACAAATGATTCTCTTGTGGGGCGCATACGAAGAACTTTCAGTCGCTCTCGCTCCCAGTCCCCATCTAATTACAACAGAAACAAGTTAAACCGAAACAGCAATAAACTCCCTAATTCATCAGCGGAAAATTGTCTAAATGAAACAACTGTTGAAGAAAACTGTTTCATGTGCCCGATTGAGAGACATTTCCCCATGAGTTCAGCAAAATTAGTAGCTAGAAGCAGTGTAATTGATGCTGGAGTGCAAACGTCCACCGACTCGCAGAGTGAGAGCACTATCCCACACTGTAACGGGGGATCACCATCCATAGTAGTGACAAGAACAGACAAATCTTCACAAGGACAATCAACAAAAGAAGACAGAAACGTGATAAAGAAATCAGAGGTGTCAGATTTGAAAAGAACAACAGAGTCCGACACTAAAGAGCCTAACGTTAAAGTAGCGCAGCAAGGCATGGAATCTAAAGCGGCAGCAAGTCCCACTACGACACTGAAGGTGAACGGGGCATCTCAGAACGGCCATACTAATGGCTTCTTGTCAGATGACGAGTCTCATAGTCCTTCCACGAGAAGGAAGAGACCTGTGTCGGCAAATTCCGCCAAAAAGTTCGTGAAGATTAGAAATGTTGCAGATGAGAAGATAGTATATACAGACACTTTACATACCAAATCTTTGGAGGTGAGTAAGCTTTCTTTAATGCGTTTTCAATTTTCTTATGTTTCAGTTTATGTAATTATTTATAATCTCTCCTCCCTATTTTTTTTAACCTTTTACAATAAAATGATTTACACCATGAATGTGATCTCTCGTCTTAATTCTTAAAATAAATTAAGCATTGACAGGTTATTTGTAAACGCGCCAAATTTGCCGTTGTCTGTTTATCGAACTGTCAACTAACAAATCTTGACTCCTATAAAAAATTACCAATATCAACAAGACTTGTTCATGATTTTCAATATTATTCATGCAATATAAACAGAGCCAACAGTTTTTTCTATTTGTTTGTGTGTAAAAGAGCAATCCCCTGTCAACATTGAAACAAAATGGTCGACGAAGTTATATGAATAAATCAAATTATCCCAATAAAAAAACGAAAATGTCTTGCACTGTATTGTTTGCAATTAATTTATGCTAAATGACATAAAAAATAAATCTCGACTATTAATTCATTAATCCAGGAGTATTAAGGAAATACCAATTGTCTCTGGTGCCTAATCTACATTTTTATTAAAAACTACAAAACACGTTTTTAACGTCATGGAAGACATTATTTTTAACGTTGTTGTTAACTTGAATCATTTCACGTTCATCTCTCACAGAATGTTCCTTGCACCTCTAATCGTTGTATGGGATCCATCATGGGGTTCACCACCAACAAACGGGCCCCCGGGGAGCCCCGCCAAAAGGAAGAGGTTTTACTACAGGCCAGAGATTTTATTGAACAATACTACACGTCAATCAAGAGGTAAAATTGTTTATATAAAAATGTCTTAGTGTTTAAAGCCGACCCTAAGTAAAAAGATTTTATTTTTGGAGTCAAAAGTTGCCTCCAAAGTATAGATTTACACCTCTGCTAGAAAATATTAATTGTAATGAGAATTATATTGGGGCGTAAAACGCCACCCTTCTACATCTAGCTGAGAATTTGTAGGTGATAAAAGAATGAATCGTCGCTGAAATTGACGATTTATGGGGAAAATTATCACCATGTACTCTCCAAGTAAGGGTTAATCAGTAGAAAAAAATCACTTAAACAAAGAAGAGAATAGAACTGACTAGAATACCTTTTACACCAACTTAACCATTACTATTAAAGGGTCTTCTAGTAAATCTCTACAAGAAACGCTAATTTTAATACCAAGCATATCAATTTGATCACTTCAAGTAAAAGGAAAATTTACAGCGTCTCAAAAATATTCCACAAGTGCCATATACCATAAAGAATCATCGAGCATTAAAGTTATGAGTGATTTGGGGCTGATTTTGAGCTAGGCTGACCAAGGACTTTCCAATGTCATTATTAGCTCACCGCTCACCTGAGACATTTGCTCAAGTGAAATTTTTTGACCATATATATATATATATATAAACTTAGCCCCTTCTAATGGACGGTAATTCTTTATAAGAAGTAAGAAAAGGGAAGGTTACCCTAAAAGGAACCACTACACAAGAGAAGAGATGAAAATATGCACAGGAATATATAGGAAAGATCTTTTAAAGTTTTACAAGGAAAACTCGGAAATAGATCAAGTAATCATATTAAAATATAGGCGTCATCATGTAGATTCAAATAATAATCACCATCTGTAGACACAACAGGAAATAATTGTCTAAATAGGGGATATTTTTCAATAAAGCTATGCAGAAATTAGAAATATTTATTCATAAGCTTGTTCGTGTTTTAATTTTTAAAAAATGAGATTCGAAAAAAATTACTCAGATTCCTAGGAATTTGAAAATGTTTGCCAGTGTATCATCCTCCTAAAGCATTCAGGCATTAGTAATGCGTCATGAAAACTTTTTTGAAGTTTATGACAGAAAATTTATACTGGTCAAAGTATTGCTATTATTATGATACTTGTACCTACAATAATTATTTTGTCAAAAATTGTATGGGGTAACAGATGATGTATATTTCTAAAGGTATTGATTTAATGTGAATGTCAAAGAAGTAACAGATGACGAAAATATCAAAGGTATTGATATCATGTCAAAATTTTATTATATGTAACAGATATATATATTATAAAGTATTGATATCAAAATTAAGTAATGCTAGTAATAATAATTAATAAGACATCCCCGCCTACAGGAATTGAAAATTTGATATCCTGTCAAAATTTAAAACAAACACTACATGTGACAGACATGTACAATAACTTAAAGTATTTAATAATATCTCAAGACATCCCCGACTACAAAAGTTTTTTTTCTTCAGAAATTAGCAATATTTCTCATGGATTTATAATCAAATAGGTACCTGAATAATGTCTGCCATGTAAAGTGGAAGAATTTGCTAAATTTTGTCACAGTGTTAAAAATGTGCGCAAAATTTTGTATAGCATTACATAGAAAACGACATAAAATCGCATATCAGAGCATCAAAGAAAACTTACGATTTAATTATGTTTTAAAGATTTTTTATTTATATTATTTCTATTATTAAGGATAAAAGAATAAGATGGGGAACGAACTCTGATGTTTTAAGTTCTGTGTCTACACATTATATACATTTTTATTTAAGGTTACTCGAGACAACCTATGACGATATTTACTGATTTATTGATGTGTATTTTGCTTCTGTGTTGATAACTATAACATGGGTTATAATTAAATAGATTAAAAAGTCAACGGTAAGATTACGCTTAAGATCTGCGCACGTTAAGTTGCCCGGTTGGCCAGGTGAGCTTGCTAAAATTTGAAACGTAGCTACATTCAATTAATTTAATGATTTAATTCAATTTTATATCATTTGTATTTTTCATGCCAAGATTCACGTGATCAGCTGTTAACGAAAAGTGATTAAACATTCCACATTTAAATGGTAATTCAAAGGTTACACCGCCGGTTAACTTTGCGTGCGCATACAATAGCACATGGAACATATTCTTTGTTTTAATTCATTCGATTTTCGTTTATCTAATATATTTACATGTATATATCTGCGTGACCACCATTTACAAATCCATTCTAGGTAAAAATAAATTACCAATGAATCAATGGCTCTTCAGTATTTGTATTGTCTCATTGGACAAAAAATTCGCACAGAAAGTGCTCTATATGCAAGGTCCTTCAGCGATCAAAAACGCTGCCATCAACAAGACTTTGTTTTGCTGATTGAAAGCGTCATTTTTTCTAACTGGTATACCCAACTTTTTGAAAAGTGATCAAAATACTCTAAAAGTGATCTTGCTTTAAAAAAAAATCATATCCAGCGAAATATCATTAGTATCGCTTGATTGCTTTTACTGTGTAGGAATGACGCGGAAGTGTTATTCAGGTGAAGATTGCTGCCCTATTTTTGGACTCTTCAAATTGAATATAAGAATCAAACGTAGAAAATGTGACATTTCTGCTCTACTTATATATGTTTGCTAAATAATACAAGATCACGTGCAATATGTAATAATATACAAATTGCATGTATGTAATAATATACAATACGAAAAATGTGACCAGACTTGACGAACATCAGGCAACGAAGTGTGTAAATTATAGATATATTCTTGAATTTCTTCCATCCCTTTCCCCAACAAAAAACAAAATAAGAAATGGCTTCGTTCTGCAAGTAGAAAAGAACAACCAAATAAATACTCTGGCTATGTATATTAACCGAATAAATTCATGATCGCACTGATATTGAAAACGCAACTTAGAATACTTTCAGTACTTTGACCGTACAAAGAAGTTGTTAAATCCAACACTAGTCACAAAATCGCCAGTTCGAACAACAGTAATTATAACAACTAGTATCTGTCTATTGTATATTATGAATCACTAAATCACTACCTCTAACAGTAGTCTACAGTTCGCTACAAGTACTTTTAACCTCTCAACGATTTCCTCTATGAAACTTCAAACGAAATAAATCCATCTTAAACCAGTTTCCTCAAAAACAAAATACTAAATTTTATCTCACTCGCTTATCACACTCTTTTTTCTTTCCTTTCATTTAAATCAAATTGATCTAGGTCAATCACAATCCACAAAACAACGCCGACATGGTGAAAAAAGGGGAAATGTAACAGTTAAGGAAGACATCCCAACATAGTGAAATGTAACATTAAGGGGGACTTTTTTCTCTTTTTTATTATTTTTTCCTTATTTTTTTCCTTTTATCTAAATCAATTGATGTAGGTCACTGAACAGTTGGGACGACATGTTTACCTACTGATATAAACAAAAACAACTAAAACAAAAAACCGTCATGAATACTAAAAAGATGGGGAAATATTTTCATTTTTTCCTTCTCTGTCGGAGAGTGACCTAAGTGTATACAATTACACACTTGAAGCTATTTGAATTCTTGTAAAATTGCACAGCTGCTGCAACACAAGGCACAATCTTGTCTTCACATGAAACCTTGCAGAAAAATTTTATTTAAAGGGTTGTGTTTCCACTTTGGTTTTTTTTTTTTTTACATATAAATAATGTAATTTAAATGGTTTATGGTTACTTTATTGTATTGGATGAAGTACATGATGTGTTTTACAAAATGCATGCAATGTCTTTTTTCTGGAGGTAATGGCTATAAATAAAAGTATTTGAGTTTACTGTACAAATCACATCATTTTATGATTTCTACTAATTAGATCTGTGTTGAATTGACTTTTGAAATAATCTGTCAGATGAAGAATTTTTTTTTAAATAACTGTGTTTCTAATTTGAAAGGCGCAACAGAAATTTTCAGATGATAGAAAAATATTTGTACATCAACAAAGGGACCGCGTTCATAGTTTTTGATGTCTGTATGTCTGACGGTAAAATGTGCAATGGTGAATAATAAATATTCATCTATACAAGAGGCCCATGGGCCACATCGCTCATCTGAGTAACTTTGGCCAAGCTGTTCTTTACCAGATTTCCCCCCCTTTTAATATACCTATTGTGGCCCCGCCCTACCCCAGGGGAACAAAATTTGAACAATTTAGAATCTACACTACCTCAGGATGCTTCCAAATATGTCTCAGCTTTATTGGTCCAGTGGTTCTTGAAAAGAAGATTTTTAAAGATTTTTCTTATATATTTCAATGTAAAACTTGGATTCCCTATTGTGTCCCGCCCTACCCCCGGGAGTCAAGATTTGAACAATTTAGAATCTACACTACCCCAGGATGCTTCCATATAAGTTTCAGCTTTTCTGGCCCAGTGGTTCTTGAGAAGAAGATTTTTAAAGATTTTTCTTCTGTATATCAATGTAAAACTTGGATTCCCTATTGTGGCCCCGCCCTACCCCCGGGGGTCATGATTTAAACAATTTAGAATCTACACTACTCCAGGATGCTTCCATATAAGTTTCAGCTTTTCTGGCCCAGTGATTCTTGAGAAGAAGATTTTTTAAGATTTTTCCTATATATTTCAATGTAAAACTTGGATTCCCTACTGTGGCCCCGCCCTACCCCCGGGGGTCATGATTTGAACAATTTAGAATCTACACTATCCCAGGATGCTTCCATATAAGTTTCAGTATTTTTTGGCCCAGTGGTTCTTGAGAAAAAGATTTTTTAAGATTTTTCCTATATATTTCAATATCAAACTTGGATTCCCTATTATGGCCCCGCCCTACCCCCGGGGGTCATGATTTAAACAATTTAGAATCTACACTACTCCAGGATGCTTCCATATAAGTTTCAGCTTTTCTGGCCCAGTGGTTCTTGAGAAGAAGATTTTTTAAGATTTTTCCTATATATTTCAATGTCAAACTTGGATTCCCTATTGTGGCCCCGCCCTACCCCGGGGGGTCATGATTTGAACAATTTAGAATCTACACTACCTCAGGATGATTCCATATAAGTTTCAGCTTTTCTGGCCCAGTGGTTCTTGAGAAGAAGATTTTTAAAGATTTTTCTTATGTATTTCAATGTAAAACTTGGATTCCCTATTGTGGCCCCGCCCTACCCCCGGGGGTCATGATTTAAACAATTTAAAATCTACACTATCCCAGGATGCTTCCACGTAAGTTTCAGCTTTTCTTGCCCAGTGGTTCTTGAGAAGAAGATTTTTTAATGACCCCACCCTATTTTTGTCTTTTCTTGATTATCTCCCCTTGTAAGGGGACTTGGCCCTTTATTTTAACAATTTACACTCCCCTTCACCCAAGGATACTTTGTACCAAGTTTGGTTAAAATTGGCCCAGTGGTTCTTGAGAAGAAGTTGAAAATGTGAAAAGTTTACAGACGGACGGACAGACGGACGTACAGACGACGGACAACGGGTGATCAGAAAAGCTCACTTGAGCTTTCAGCTCAGGTGAGCTAAAAATGAAATTTGTCAAATTTTCAGACAACTGTTGTTTTTCTCTGTATGAGATTTCTGGTGTTTGACTCGGGATTATCATAATTACCATGCATTCAAGTTCATCTGGGACAGAAATATTTTCTGTCAAATTACCGAAGAACCGAAAGACACATCTCTTGATAAAATAATGTATACTTCAGAATTCAAATTATACATCAATTACAGTTCTATATAAGCTTCAGTGACCATTCAGTATTGGTCTTTTTCACAGAATTAACTCCCAATCATACCATAAACGGCTAGAAGAGGTTGTTGCTTCTATAGAGAAGACGGGTACATATGAACTAACATCCAGCGAACTGACGTTTGGCGCTAAAACAGCGTGGCGCAATGCTCCAAGGTGTATTGGACGAATTCAGTGGAATAAATTACAGGTGAACAAGCATACCTTACGGAAAATTAGTTAACTGCAATTTAATGATTTTTTTTAAAAAAGCAAATTATATCAATTTGGCAAATTTCGATCTTAGGTTTTTGATGCTCGTCATATAACTACAGCTAGAGGGATGTTTGAAGCCATATGTAACCACATAAAATACGGCACCAATAAGGGGAATATTAGGTTTGTTTTATTTGAGTATTCCTCTGTAAGAAAACGTCATGTCCTTGAAAGAGTTAATTTATATACATACCGAATATCAAAGGGGGAATCTGTTTTCTTTATTCAAGATCTGCCATAACTATTTTCCCGCCAAGAACTGATGAGAAACACGACTTCAGGGTCTGGAACGCCCAACTGATAAGATACGCGGGGTACAAACAACCTGACGGATCTATCATAGGTGACCCCGCTAATGTGGAATTTACAGAGGTGAGAAAATATTACACAAAAGCTATAAAGGTCGAGAAAAAATTAGGGAGGGAATATCTTACCTCTAAGTTATCTATGTGATGTCAAAGTATCGTATGTCACGTGACTTACACTATTTGCAGGTCTGTCTGAAGATGGGCTGGAAAGGAAAAGGCGGTATGTGGGATGTTTTGCCTCTTGTTCTACAGGCAAACGGGATGGACCCGGAAATGTTTGAAATTCCCTCAGACTTAATTCTAGAGGTCCCAATCAAACATCCAAAGTAAGAATTAAACAAAGAAAAGATTCTATAAAGACGGCATTCATTCCAAACTATGTTAATAAAATATGGCATACAACTTCCTCACATGAAAATAGAAGATATTGTACATAAAAACTTATACATGTATGTTATTGGCCAGTCTAATATTCAAATTATTAAACGAAATGAATCGTCATTTATCATTTTTGAATTAAGAATAAAAATCAGTCGGACATGAACAGCCATGAACCCTGATTAAACTAGCTACCTTCATCATTGCCAGAAAATTAACCGATAATTACGTGTATCTAGTGTAGTCTTCTCAGCCAAAAAGATTAAGTGTAGCTACCATGCACTTTTTCAAGTTAAATCGTAAAATTGTCTGGGTCGAATAAAGCCTTATATTTAATGTGAGGTAGCGTAATTTCGTTGTCTTTTCCCCCATATAATTAACAATATTGCAATTGGTATTGTTTCTTTAAACCCACGCAACATCTTTTGACATATACTGTGACCGTTTATCTTTTTTTTTAATACTACAGTAAAATTTCGAAACAAAATGTAAACTGCTTAGAAATATCGTCGAATATGCCTTAATCAGATAAATGTGAATAGCATTCAAGTCTGTGTTTAACATTTTTGCCTGTGTGTGTGTTTTCAATAGATTTCCTTGGTTGGCCGAGATGGGGATTCGCTGGTATGCCCTACCGGCCGTGTCTTGTATAATGTTTGACTGCGGGGGACTGGAGTTCACAGCCGCGCCCTTCAATGGCTGGTTCATGGGGACAGAGATTGGTGCACGTGACCTTTGTGATGTTCAAAGATATAACCTTTTGAAAGTATGAATACCTTATTTATAACTCTCAAACTGTAAGAAGGTTAATTTCTAGTAAATTTCTTCTATAATTGGAGTTTAAAAAAAAAAAATAAATTTTGCCTTTCTACATGTAAATAAGGCAATCCTAATATTTATTACCTAATTTATTTTTTACAAGCGACATTCATAATCCTTTATGCTCAATTACAGCCCATAGCTGAAAAGATGGGATTAGATACGAAGAAAAGTTCCTCATTGTGGAAAGACAGGGCCTTAGTAGAAATTAACATAGCTGTGTTATACAGTTACCAGGTACGATAACAAACCTTATTTCTGTTAGACTCGTAAAAGCAGTTATACTTAATGTATGAATTAGTTAAAAGTCAAGAGTATTACCGGATTCTGACGGTATGAGGTATAAGCACATGGGACTCCAAGTATCTGGAGAATATGAGAAGTTTATAAAACAAACCATTAAAAATCAATTGACCTTGATGTTTAACAAACAGAGCACATAAAGAAGGAAGTGGTGTGTGTCTTTTAATGTACTATAAAGATACAAAAGATATACAAAAAATTTCACAATCTATACTATTAAAAAGATAGGCTCTAGTTGGTTCTTTGAGCCATCATCATTTTTAATACTGATGATGGACGCGTGAATATTTTATTGATATGCTTCAAGAGATGTCATTAATCCTTCTTAATCAGCAGTCACAGATCACAGCCATCAAGCAGACTGTCAAGAGAAATTCCTCTCTTGTCTAGACTTGTCAATAAATTAGATTTCTTAGGTTTTGGTCTAGAATTTTTTTCCCAACACTTTATGTATGTTGCAAAAACCTGTACCAGTCCGGATTACTTTTTAGCTCACGTGAGCCAAAGTCTCAAGTGAGCCTTTCTAAACAAAATGTCGTTTGTCTGTTGTTATCAGTATGGTCGTTGTCATATTTTCATCTTTTCTCGTTTTCATTTTTCTCCAGAACCACTGGGTCAAATTTACCAATTTGCCACACAGCATTCTTGGGAAAGCGCAGAGTGATTCAAGTTTATTAAAATAAAGGGTACACTTTCTTTCAAGGGGAATCACATTTTATATGATGCATGTATATGTAAATACCTGTACAAGATTTTTAAAAATATTCTTCTCAGTCATACTATTACTGAGGCATGCCCATGATGTGTAGATTTAAGTTCGGTTATGTCGAGGTCATGATCCCTGTGGGGCAGGGCGGGGCCACAATATTGGATCAATTCTTTTTATGTGAATAAGTGGGAGACAAAAAAAGCTTTAAAAATCCTACTCATGTTCATGATGTGTAGATTCAAGTTCTGTTACATGTATGTCATGATCCGTATGGTTAAGGTAGGGCCACAATATGGGGCCATTTCTTCCCATCTGATTAAGGGGGGAGAAAAAAAATAATTTAAAAATCTTTTGAGGGAGAGTAGGGTCAAGTTGACTCAGGTGAGCGTTCTGGTCCATGGGCCTCCTGTTTTTCTAGTTAAGTCTTAAGTACTTGATTCTCAATAATAAAGTAGACAACTTTGTAAAAATAATTTTTTTTGTTCAACAAATTGTTCATCAAAGCGGAAAACTAAACCAAATGAGAACAAAAAGTCAATTATCTTCGTTTCTGGAGCATAATATGACCAAACAGTATAATAATCAGGTTTTTTCTGCCTTGTGTAGAGAAAAGATCCTTTGATAATATTTTTTTTAATTCACCTTGTTTTTGTTTTGTCGTATAAGAAACCAATAAACAGATAAATGTGTACTATGTTCTGGCCTCAAAACCAGAAACTGAAAACAGGCTTCAGTCAAAATTTCAAATTGATAAAAATTTTGAAGTAATCTTCATATTCAAACCAAATTTTTATCATGTATATGTGTTTGTGTATCAAACAAACCTGTAATTTTTAAAACACTTGTCAGAAATAGAAATCAAGTTATTCAAAATTGAAGTTTGACTCGAGTTTGTTCCCAGTTTATGGTCTTGAGGCCTGAAATTATAATGCTTACGTGTATCAGAGACAACAATGGCAGAAAAGAATTTCTTCAAGCCAATTGTGTTAGCTATTCCGCAATAATTAGATTTCTATAGGACTGCAGACGTAATATGGTTTGGGAAATAGTGAATTTAAGGTGATACAGTACCCTTTAATGAATTTCAGCATGAAAATTTATGCTTTTAAAATTTAACGCTTTCGCTCTCACATAAGTATAAATCACATGTACTTAGCGAACCACTTTAAGGGCAGATAATACAAATCAAAAATCATGAAAATAATAACTAAATCATTGTTTATGCAAGTAAAAGAAAGTTTAGCCTTTCAACCTAAATTTAAAAGGGTGAGGACAAAAAGGATTGATTGATTGATTGTGTGTAGTTTTACGTCCCATTCGAGAATTTTTCATTCATATAGAGACGTCACCGTATGCCGGTGAAAAACCTGAAATTCAGACCTATACTCAGCACTCAGGGCCATTGAGCAGTGAGGGTTCTTTATCGTGCCAACGTCTACTGTGACACTGGATCTCGTTTTTTACGGTCTCATCCGAAAGACCCGTGACTTTCACTCTTGGCAAAGGAACAGCCACTACGTAATGGATATATGCCGAATACTGTTCTATATGTAAAATTATCAGACTGTTTGAGGCCCGTTAGGGCCGAAAACAGTCTGATAATTTTACATATAGAATTGTATGAGGCATATATCTTACTTAAAACATTGCTATTTAAATGTCCAAAAGTTACCTGGAGGAGTCCGATAATTACACAATAGGAGTTCAGGCATCAATAGTTTTCTACCTGAAACCATCTAATAAGTAGACAAAAGAAAAGAGAAAGTTTTTTTTTTCTTTAGACAATAAAATCAGTGAGTGAACTCTTTTGTTTCATTCATTCAATGGCAGTCGTTTGGCTTAGCAGGAACTATGGACAGTGGTCAGGGGATGAAGGGTTTTTAATGATTCGGAATATTTTTTTTATTAAGTGCGTTTGCCATTGATACAGAAACAGTGTTGGATGATATCTTCAAAATGCATTTAGAGTAAAAATGCGGATTTTTATCTAAAATTTTGATTGGATGATATAATGAAAACCTTGGGTTTAAAAGTGCGGTCATTGGCGAACAAACCTCGTTAAATGAAGAGATTCGCAGACTGGTTCTTTATCAGAAATGGATTTAAATTGGCTTATTCACAGTGCTGTATCGAAAACGCTTTGCAAAAAACCGAATGGAAAGTGTTACTTTTGAGGAAGGTTAAAACTCCAGTTTCGTCTTGGATTTGCTTTTTTTAACAACTTAATTTCCTCGCGTTCGCTTTCCCTGAATTTTTTCTCCCTAACTTTTTTTTGGTTTCTGGACAATTTAAACCTTGATTTCACTCTAGTTGTTGTTTTTTAACTACCATCCGATTTTGTTATCACTGCCGTCCGATAATATGTTATTGGACTGCAAATTATTATTATCGGACGGCTACAGGTAAATTCTTAGACTGCAAGAACAAAGGTATGCCGTCACAGCAATGTTTTAACTGTGTTTACGTCTTAGTTTGACGCGGCGCGACGAACGAGAATCGAATCCGGACCTCCCGATCACCAAGCGAACGCCCAACCACTAGGCTACCGTGACCGGTTCGGCCAAAAGGAAGAAAATTGAACATAATAGAAATTCTACAATTTCTTAGTATTTTAGAGACTTGATTTATGCATCATTTACAACCAAAATATGTCAAAATATATATACAAGATAAATAAATTGATGCAAAGCATCAAATCGGCCGCAAAAATATATTTCATTTTGAAGAATTTCCACAAAAAAGAGTCCAAAGAAAAAATCGAAACAGAAAAAGTATATGATACATTCTTACATTTGCTTTACTTTTCTGTGCATTTTTTACATTAGTTTTCAGAGATCAATTGTTAAATCAGTATTATATTCAAATAAAAATAGATTCATTGATACGAAAATCGGACTGCAATAAAGGATAGGAATGTATTATCATCAAATTATTTGATTCAAGGACAAATGCAACAAATATCTGAAATAATTGATTATGAATGTTTAAATGCTGACAAAAAGGACACGAGCTTCACGTGCTGATACCCTCGCTTTATAATGCCGATCAGTGTTGTGATAGATATGTACCGGTATGTGAAATGCAGAAAAAAAATTCATTGTGTCACTTGTAAACTTTCACATTATTTGATTTACATTTTCAAATGTATTTTTCCGAGATAAAACTACATATGTGGTAGTACCTTTATAACCCCATAATGCGATTTGCTCAGCACGTCACAGAACCGCATGCTTTTCTGCTGTGTGTTGCTTAGTAATACACCTGACGGGGATGCTGAGATTTTTTATTATTGAATAAAATATTTTTATTTATTGAATCAAGGATCAGGCAAAAGTGTTAAAATAAGGAAAAACTGTCTGTTTTTTGTTTTATGATGTGATTAATCGATTTACTGGTGTGATAATTTGCATAAACACCGAAGGCGTTTGTAGTTTTATCTCGGACAAATACATTTTAAAATGTAAATATTTAAAATTATGTTAACATACATGTACGTTTACTTACCAGTATGTTAATATTTAATACAAGTACTGTAATATGTATATAACTTTTGACTTACTTATGTACGCTAGCAAACGGGCGTTACAATCACGGACCACCACGCCGCATCGGAGTCCTTTATGAAGCACATGGAGAACGAGCAGAAGACGAGGGGAGGCTGCCCTGCGGACTGGGTGTGGGTCGTCCCTCCCATGAGTGGGTCTCTCACCGAGGTGTTTCACCAGGAGATGTTGCTTTACAAACTCAAACCCTCGTATGAATATATGGTCAGTATCAAATTCTGTAAATACCAGAAAGGAATTGAGGGAGAAAATTTTCCAGTGCTAAAATTAAGAATAATATGTTAACAAAAATCAACAAAATTTCGCAATATGTTGTACTTATTTCTTTGATACAATTCTATTTTACAATAAAGATTCCTAGTGTATAACGATTTCACACTGATTACTTTGTCTGGGTTGTATATTTTACCTTGATGGCAAACATTTTACCTGAAGGTATTGGGTTTTTTTTTCCTTTCTCAGGATGACCCATGGAAGACACATGTTTGGAAGAAAGATCGCGATAGAAAAGTCTCGGTAGACCGCCCTAAGCGGAAGTTTGGCTTCAGAGAACTAGCTAGGTATAAATGTCTCCAATGTAGTGAGCGAAATAAGAAGTATACATGCAGGGACTTAATTTCAAAATAGATTTTATTTATTCCTATTGTGTTTTAAGAAAAAAAATTCTTTTGCAGGGCAGTTAAATTCTCTGCTAAGCTGATGGGCAAGGCTCTGGCTAGGAGAGTGAAATGTACAATACTGTACGCCACGGAAACAGGGAAATCAGAGAGGTTCGCGCGGTCCTTGTGTGAAATCTTCAAACACGCATTTGATGCCAAGGTGAGATTCTGTAGGCCCTTCTGGAATTCTCTTTTCCTAATTTTTCCGATAAATAGGTCTATCCTTTCTATAATAACGATATTCTTAACAACCATCCGACATTACACTGGTAAATATTACTTCAAATCCAGGTTATGAACATGGAGGACTATGATCCGATATACTTGGAACACGAACAGCTGTTGTTAGTGGTAACCAGCACTTTTGGCAATGGCGACCCACCAGAAAACGGAGAAGTATGCATTTTGCATTTTTTTTTTACGACGAAATTTGTTTTTATTTGTGTTTTGTAAATCCTAAAAATCATGTAGGTAAACTGAAAAGAAAATATTCTTTTAGAGGAATTTTAAGCCAGAGCTTTACCGTTTGTATCGGTTTAAGAAAATTGAAACGATGTTGTCTTTGTCGGCTTTCAACATGTTTTAACAATTTGTTTCGACAGGCTTTTGCTAAAAGTCTCCACGAGATGAAATCTCCTCAGAGCACCCAAAAGTAAGTGGAATAAAATCATTGTCATGCAGTATTGTTATTGGTTTGTCACGACACAAGACAAATTCTTCTATTTCTGTACTTAATACCGGCAATTAACACTTTATATGCAAACATTTTACATGGTATTCCGAGTTTCCATTCAAGCTCCTGATCAGCAATGCATCGACATCACTTTATTTTACAGTGGGGAACCTATGTTCATGTCTTATTTCAAGATGAGCACCAAAAGTGAATCAGACGACAAGGGCGACACGTCACAAGATACGGCGGGAAATCTCGACGCAGACGTCGGGCCGCTGGCTAATGTTCACTATTCCGTCTTTGGTCTCGGATCTAGGGCATACCCGAATTTCTGTGCCTTCGCTCACTTTGTAGATAATATGATTAACTCTTTAGGTGGTATGAGGATACATAAAATGATGGAAGGGGACGAGTTGTGTGGTCAAGAAGAGTCATTCCGTCAATGGGCAGAGGAAGCGTTTAAGGTGAGGTATCTTTGCTATAAAATGTTACAAGTGTTGATAAAGCTAAAGCGAAAGTATGGCCTTGATTCTTAAGTCAAATGCTGACTGACGTTTTTCATACTAATTGTTAGGCCATTATTTACACACTGAATTTTTCCGTTATTTCCCGATCTTCACAAGGAGCACACGGCGGGTGTGACCGGTCGGCAGAGGATGCTCACTCCTCCATGGCACCTGATCCCACCTCTGATGTTTTAGAGGTCCGTGTTTGCTCTGCTCCTGATTTGTATTGTTTGAATGGACTTTTGAGCTTGAATATTGTTCATTATCTCCATATATTTCATTCCAAAAAAATGTTTGTTTTATGCATTACAATTTTAGTCTGCCTCCTCTCTCAACATTTCAACCAAAACTTCGCGTCAAAAAATTTTCTCTGGTAGTTTTTTTTTAGGGGGGGGGGTCGAAAATTCTTTTGTTTTGAACATTTTTATATATTTAATTATATTTTCAGTCTGCTTGTGAGACATTCTGTGTTGGTGATGACTCTAGCATCAGCGAAGCCACAAGCTCTTTGTCAAAAACGGACTTTACGTGGTCTCCTGGTAAATTCAGGCTGACACCCGCTGACAAGGAACCTACATTAACGGAAGGTCATATTTTATCATAATATTGTCGTGAACTGATTTTTATTTGAAAATTAAAGTAAGAACACGACTAAACTTATTTTAATTTTCAAATAAAAATCAGTAAACGACAATATTTCAGACTTTTGAAATTTATAGATTTGCACTGTAGCAAAAAGTTAATCCATTATTTGTGTGAATTTACAGCTTTATCCAAGGTTCATAATAAAACAGTAATACCGTGTAAACTGATCGAGAGAACACAACTGCAATCTCCGGATTCAAGGTATTTGAGGGTTCTTGGTCCAAAGCCCAACTACATACATGATATACCGCCGACCCTTTTTACTTAATTTCTATTTATTTTAATTTGCAGTCGACAGACTATATTAGTAAAATTGGACACAAATGGGGCCCCAGAGCTGGCATATGCACCTGGCGATCACGTGGCTATTTTCCCTACGAACTCTTTAGATATGGTAGAATCTATCCTCTCAAGGCTTCAGAACGCACCATCGGCGGATCAAATAGTCAAAACAGAGATACTACAAGAAAAATCAACCCCTTTAGGTGAGTATTAAAGAATAAAATTTATTTTTTCGTAGCATGAAGATAACCTGAACCTATGTGTAAATTAAGTAAAGTGACACAATACAAATTCAATGCTATTTGATACTTTTTGTGATGTCATGACATTTTGACCATTTTCAGGTTCTTCAAAGGTCTGGGAGCCAGTAGAAAAGATCCCAGTCTGTTCCCTGCGAACAGCTTTTTCTCGCTTCCTGGATATAACAACGCCTCCTTCTGTTAACATGCTAAAGCAACTGGCGTCCCAAGCAACGCGAGAGAGCGACAAAAACAGACTAGAGAACCTTGCAAACGTCAGTTTACAAAGATTTTCTAAAACTATGCATTTTTTCATAGCTTTTTATACATTCTCTAATACGTGCAAATGATTTCTATCCAAGTCACAAAAAGTTGAATTCTTTTCAATGTGTTTCGGGCTTAGAGAGAATATAAGTAAAATTAAACATTTGTAAACCAGGATATTCACGCATATGAAGACTGGAAACATGAAAGGAACCCCAACCTGGTAGAGGTATTCGAGGAATTCCCCTCTCTCCGGGTGAACCCCACCCTTCTAATGACACAGCTGCCACTACTTCAGCAGAGATTTTACAGTATCAGTTCCTCACCAAAGGCTTTCCCCGGAGAAATCCACGCCACAGTGGCTGTAGTCAGATATAACACCATGGGTAAGGATAGTTTCTCAATAATGCCAACAATTTTTGAGCAAAAAATTCTTCCTCAGTTTATGAACGAGTTATTAAGACTATGAATCATATATATATATATATATATATATATATATATATATATATATATATATATATATATATATATATCGTTTTCATATTTATCTCCAGGTGGAGTTGGTCCTGTGCATGAAGGAGTGTGTTCATCTTGGTTGAATAAATGTGACATCGGTGAATCTATTCCCTGTGTAGTAAGAATGTAGGTTTCAAATAAGATATATTTTGATATATTTTACAGTCTATTAAAATGCTTATAAAGATTTAAGTGCATGCAAATTATGGCACTCTGCACAGGGCACCGAGTTTCCATCTTCCTGATGACGCTACACTTCCGGTTGTGATGGTTGGTCCAGGAACTGGAATCGCACCTTTTAGAAGCTTCTGGCAGCAACGTAAAATAGAACAGGAAATGCTTCCTCCTCCTTCACGTAAGTAAATACCAGTGAGCCAATTATTGATTGTGTACATGTACTTGGCGAAACTCAAAAATTTTTCATTTGAATATTTAGATGGAGAGAAGAAAGGATGGGGGATGATGAGTTTATACTTCGGTTGCAGACAGTCTACCATGGATCACATCTATGAGGCTGAATTAAGCACATGCGCAAAGGAAGGTGTTTTGTCCCAGGTGCATGTTGCCTTATCGCGTGAACCTGGAAAGAAAAAGGTATAGGTCATACCCAGTAACAGATCTTGTATCATTTAGTTTAGCTTCTTTTAGACAGATTGCTATGTAAAATTATTTGGTATTCACGCAAAAAGTGTATATTCAACATATGAAACAAATTTCTGTAGGAATATGTGCAAGATCTCTTGAAGAAAAACAGCCAACAAGTGTTTAACAGCATAATGAAGGAGGGCGGACATTTTTATGTGTGTGGTGATGTAGGAATGGCTTCGGACGTGACGACAACACTCGCCAAAATAATCCAGGAACACGGCAAAATGACCGCCGAAAAGGCCCAATCCTACCTCTTAAAACTTAAAGTAAGTTGTCACCCCCCATAATAATATTCTAATGTATAGTTTATCAATATAATGAATCTGTTCATAACACTGATTACTGTGTACAGTGTGTGATATTGTCAAAATGTAAAGACTTAATATTGTGAAAATTTGTCTTCAAATTTCTTGTTTTTCTCAGGAATCTAATCGTTTCCATGAAGACATCTTTGGAGTGACTGTCAAAGCGGAAGTGACAGATAGAGCACGTGACCAGGCCAAGAAAGCTTGGAAATACATCAACTCTACCAATAAAACGACGAGAACTGACGAAGTCGTCACTCGGATCCCCTCAGCGGTAATTCTTAACTTTTTTCATGGAAATAAAAAGAAGAAAAACAGAACAAATTTAATTCAAGAAAATTAAGTATTTGAACAGTCTTTAGAAAGAATTAATTTCAATTTACATGTATAACAAATGTTCTGTCATGTGTTATATTATAATATTATTTCCATCAAAACAGAAATGCAAATTATTTCATGTTGAATTTATTAGTCTTCCGAGGAAAATTAGGTAAACCAAAGCAGAGATTAGTACAACATTAAGCGGCATTTATAATTTCATTGCTTACTCCTGTAGCAATTTTATTTATTTACTTATTTATTTATTTGATATTATATTTCCTTATTTTTTCGGTATATGTAAATATATAATATACGCATGCCAGTAACTTACTAGCCTAGACAGCCATTTTGTTTTCATTCTTACATACATACTCTTTAACCATTTTCTTCTTACCCTGAATTATAAATTTATTTATTTCTTATATTACTCTGCAATTTATCCACCTCTAAACAATTTATGAATACTGTCCCTTGAATTTTAACCACCTTAAATACATGTGTATTTCATAATTTGTGCTTTCTTTCCAAAATCCCAAGCACAAAACACGAGGCATTACATGAAATGTGTACGCAAAATTCATCAAAACATGGGAGAACATTTGATTACATGTTCACATGTCTTTTCCAAACATTTATATAATTTGATCTCATTTCTCGTATCTTTACTAAAGAAAGCAATACATTTATTTGAATTTTTTTCTCTCTCTTTAAATTCAAATCAGGGACCAAGGATGGTCGTCCATTCTGATTTTTTCAGATCAGCGAGCTACAGATCTGCAGCTAGTGATTTCATAAATATATAACATAATGTAAAATAAAATCAACAAATTTCAATACAAGAACACAAGCTTATAGATCCTATGCACAATATTCACTATTTCTACCTCCACTAAGAAGCCTGTAATATTACGTGTAAAATATTCTGTTAAATACGCTATATACTGAATCTGTCATTTTTTCACCGCTTTTGTCTACCGTCTAAAGAATCTGAGACCAGTTAAACATTTATGCAAGTGATATACCTTTTTTGAGTACCTTATTTAATTTTTATTACAGGAAATTCCCATCCAGAGCCGGAAGCCACGCCCACCTTCCAGAAATCGCTGTCACGTGGGTTACACAGACATGGAGAGTACTTTGTACGAGAGTTCCGATTCTATGTCCCCGGAACACTGACAAGTGGCCAATTGCAAAGCGCCCTTCCTTGGGTTACCGAACTCTCTAATTGATTGTTGTATATTATACCACTTACACTCCTTGTATTTTTTTTTATGAATAATAATAATATCATTATATTAGTTTCTTGGTATGAAATAACATTTTGCAATAATTAATAATTGTATGTCATTCATATTTACAGACTGTATGTCAGTACATTTATGGTGTTTTAAACACTACCAACATAGGAACTTCAAAAATTAAGAGCATGAGAAAAGAAAAACATTTGTACTGTAATAATACGATCGAATTCTGGGTTTATCTCGTTTTATATGGAGATAATAAAGTCAGTACATTAGCAAATGCCAGAAAAATAACAATAATTGGTCAATTTTATTTAGCACGTTGAAAAATAATTTTGAGACAAAAATGGATGTGGGTGTTGAAAATAAATGTAGCACATGTATGTTTATTGATTACAAAAATGTTTTAACAAATATTGATATTGACAGGTAATTACATGATAAAACTTATGCATAAAAAAAGTGAAGTATTTGTAAATTACAATATGGAATACATTGCATAAATTTCGTATTAAAAGTTCGATCTTGACCCATATTGGTATTTTTTAAAGGGGCTTGGACACAGATTGTGAGGTTAATATTTTATAAAATTTTCGCTATAATATCATGACTTACCTGTTGCTAGAGAATTTCTGACCGTTATACATGTATTATAAAAGTATGTTTAGAAACTTCTTTTATCTGAAAATTACTAAAACTACGAATTTCGGGACGCATTTCATTGACACATACCCTTGCACTTTCGCGAAGCAAAATTTATCCTTTATATATAAGAAAAGTGGAAACCTTGTTGTGTATTAATGAAAAATATTCCAACTTGAATGTAGAAAATTCAAAGCAGAAATGTGAGAAAGCAAAACCAATACACCAGTGTTGTCAGCTCGTGTTCAGTGATGTGTGCAGAGCTAACAAATTGAATATACCTTGTAAAACATATACATTAAACAATTACAATTAAGACTCGGGTCCATGTTAACGAACATAGATGTTTGACGTAATGCTATGAAGAATGTCGTTGTCACAGAATTTCAAGAACTTCCATATAAGGTCAATTCATTAAACTGAGGTTCCTTTTTGAATAAAAATATAGAAATTTAAAAATTGTAAATAAAACAACAGTGCGTCTGTGTCAAGGCCCCTTTAATGAGTGGATCGTGGATTCTTCAAACATTTTCAATGAACGTTTTTAGCCTCATTTTGCGGCTCCAGAATAGGTAATGGTTAATATCTCCACTGCATAAGACTTTTTTCAAATAATTATATGGGAATCGGTTTTGTAACCTTTCATACTGTTCAATACTGTCATGCAGTTTTCCCCCTTTGAAACTGTGTATTTTACTTGTTGATGAATGTGATAAATTGTACATTTTGCACTATTCGAGAGTATTTTACATCCATATCCTTTATAATAATTTTATGTCTGAAAATATTTAAAACTGTGTGCAATACTTTTTAATAAGCTTATGATTGATTAAACAGTACAAACATTAACAATGTCTTCTTGCTTTGTAAATCCATCACCGAACCCCACGGAGGGAATTAGATCGGGTTCGTTGTAACACATGGGACAGCGACTATTTCTTATGACCGATGATCGCATCCACATAATTAAATTGTACCGCTCACCACTAGTTATTGGTAATGCACCGTGCCTGTGCTGCCCTCTATGAAGCAGGGCTATGGTTGGCCTGTGCGAGTACTCTGTATATTTCACACTCTGACAAGATGCCTTGTGAGGTTCAAACATATCTCCGAAGTACAGTTCACCACCAGTAAAATCCTTTCCCATTGAAACGTTTAAGGTGATTTCTGCGTTGTCATAGTGATAGTTCAGGTCCGTATCTTCGCCTAGTTTATAGGTCACAACAAATGCCTTGTGGGTGTCTAGGCTGGCCCCGCCTCCGTCCGGATAAAGGAGGCTGGTGATTGGTGTCAGATAGTTCTCTCGCAGAGGTGACAAGAAATTCTCATCGAATCCAATCTCATTCAGAAGTACCTGAATTTTTTTTTAAAAATGTTCAGATAATAATGTAACGTTATGCATATCAATAAGTAAGACTAGATGAAAGAAAACGCCTCAAACTGAGTTTGTTACATGATATATAAATTATTATTGCTAGCGCTCTCGAGCGCTAGCAACTACGTTAGTCTATATTTCTGAAATACGCATGCTCGAATTCACGGTCGGGGATTCTGGGAAAACTACTGTAGATAGT